TCTTTGATCTTCTGGAACATGCCAGGCCAATAAAAGTTCTTAGTGATTCTCTTTGTGGTTTTCCTCACGCCCAGATGTCCACCTTGAGGGTTCTCGTGTGCCACCCTCATCAGCTGTTCTCTAAAACTTTGAGGTACTACAATTTGATTATATGTCACTGATCCTTCTGTTAACTTCATGTTTCTGGTTTCTCTATACAAGACACCATTCTTTAACACAAACTTGGAGGGCTGTCCTTTTGCTGATATTGTGGGGTTTTGAGCCAAGGTGAACAAAGGTTTTAGAGATTCATCTGCTCTTTGTTCCTGTTGAATTTCTCTGACTCCTCCCGTTTTCTTAATAAGCTCAGCAACCGTAGCGCTGGATTCTGGATTCTCATCCCCATCCTGTTGTATGGCGAAACACATGGCTTTTTGATCAGGGCTTTTGTTGTTATATTCTTCCTCCTCACACGTCATTTTCCAGTTTTCAATCTTCTTAGCCAGATCATTTCCAATTAAACATCGGTATGGTATGTCTGGACTGACTGCAAAATCCCACATACCCTTCCAACCTCCATATTCTATTGGCAAAGACACCACTGCTGTTGGTATTGCAGGTCCCAAGCCTTTTAATCTTATTTCAGAGATAGGGCGCTGAAATTTCTGAGGTATTATATCTGGATGTACAATACACACTTCGGACCCTGTGTCCCGCAGTCCTCTCATGTCTTTGTTGTCAATGGAAATGGATTCTAAGTAATCCTCCGATGGGGTGTTTGACAAAATGAACAAACACTGTTTCTCTTGAGGCTCTGTTTCTGAACTCTCCTTTGACACAGTATCTGGTTCTGTCTTCTTTGTTTCTTTTACTTTATTCACAAAGAGGGTTGTTTTCTCTTTTCTTAAAAGGGGACATTGATACTTTATATGGTCCCACTTTCCACACTGAAAACACCTCCTTTTTCCCTCAGGAGCAGTTTGACTTGTTACACCCTGCCTCCTCCAGGTGGGGTTTTCTATTTCAGAACCTTTTCCTTGCTGTGGGCGCGTTTGATGTTGGTAAAATGGCTGCCTGTTTGTTCTTTTATCACTTGGCAGATCTTCCCTTTTGAATCCTTCTTTTAGGGTAATTATTTGATCTACCATAACCGCTGCCTCTACTATAGTGGATGGTTTTCGATCCTGTATCAGCCAGCAAAAATCAGAAGGCACCAATTGGAAGAATTGTTCCAATTTTAAAAGTTCTCTCAGCTGTTGGTAATTTTCCACCTCAGACGTCCTTAGCCAACTATCGAACAGTTGAGACAATTTAGAGGCCACCTGAGCGAAACTTTGATTTTTATCTCTTTTTAGGGTCCTGAACTTGAATCTGTAAAATTCAGGAGTTAATCGAAATTCTTGTAAAATCTGTTTCTTAAATAAATCATAATCCCCATAGGACTCCTCAGGCATTTCTCCATAAATTTGTAAGAGCTTTCCACTTATCTGAGGCCTTAGGTATGTCATCCATTTTTCCTTAGCAACCCCGAAATCTCTACAACATCTTTCGAATGAGATTAAAAATTTCTCTACATCATCATCCTTAGTAAATTTAGGAAATCTCTTTATCATATCTGGGGTATCCACTCCAGAGCTCCCTTCTTGGATGTTACTGGATGTTTGAGACAAAGCTAATTTTTGCTTTTGCAGTTCAAATTCCATTCTCCTCAATTCTATCTCCTGTTCTCTCTCTTTTTGTCTTTCTTCAAACTCTCTTTCCCTTTGTTTCGCCTCCATCTCCAGTTCTCTCTCCCTTTGTCTTTCTTTTGCCTCTATTTCCAATCGTTTCATCTCTAGTTTGTACTTAAAAGCCATTTCTGACACAGGCACTGGCTCCGTTTCTGCTTCAGAGCCCGAACTTTCTTCCTGGTCTCCCTCTGTTTCCTCAACAAGTTTTCTCTGTCGCCTGGTAGCCATATTCCAATAACTTTTACCTCACAACTTATTCTCAAAATAGTCTTAAGGCACTTGATCAGTTGTTAAACGGATCCCGTCGTCTGCCACCAATTTGCGAAGGGGTTGCCCCACTTCAAAGAAAAGGGGTTTCAGGAGAGAGAAGTTTCGATTTATTATTTATTATCCTTAATGGAGCCACCAATTTGTGATGTGAGGTAATTTGGGAGATTGGGCACACTGAACGCCGAGTTAATGGAGATGAGGCAGTCTTAAAATCAAAGAGAACAAGTTTATTTTGAAACAAAGCGTATGGTTGCAGTTTGGTGATAAACTTGGAAGATGCTTGGAGAACGTTACATATAACTTGGTTGCGATACAGTACAGACTTCTGATGTTACAACTTATCAATAACTTTTGCTGTGGTGAAGCACTTTATTAAACAATGGTTCTTGAAGTGAATAGTCTTCCTGTTTGATCCTTCTGTGATCAAACCTCAGATCTCTAGTTCACTTTTAACTAGTGATCTAAACAAGCTTCTATTAGTCTTCTCTAACTAATGAAACTAATAAGGTTTCCCCTTCAGCCTTCCTAAACTGAAGAAACCTCTGACTATTCACAAACACTGCTTCTCTACTTCCCACTCTCTCTCTCTCTCAACACTTCATTTCCCTGAGCCTAAAACCTGACTCTTCATTCCTCTGAGCCTAAACCCTAAACTAACTGTTCACTCCTCGGAACCTAAAACCTAACTGACTTTAACTGTCGCTTTTCAAAACTCTCCTCTCTAAGCTCCTCCCACTTCTCTACAGCATCGTTTCCATGGTAACACACTCCTCACAGCTAGGCCGCTCCAGCATTAGGGCAACCAGTGCAAACACGAATACAGTTATAATCATATCATTTACAATCAACTTCTGTACACCCTAAGACATGCTAATGACTACAAGTTTGAAATATAATTCAAACAATTTTAGGTACTGGTCATTGACTGTAATAAATAAATATATAAACTTTCAATATTTCAATTTAAATATTTAAGTTTTGAATTAATATTCTAGTTTCAATAAGGCTGCCATATTGAGAAGGGAGCAATCTTGGTTTTTTCTGCTCTAAAGACTGAAGGTACATTTATAGTACACAATGTAGTTTGACACTACTTTAAATGCCATAGCTCAATGCTATGGAATCATTAGAGCTGTGGTTCAGTGACACACCAGAACTCTTTGCTAGAGAATTTGCAAAATTAAAACTCCTGTAATTCCGTAGCTTTGAGCAATGGTAGTTAAAACAGGTGTCAAATTATACTAATTCTACAGTGTAAATGCACCATTAGACTTGGAACCATGGATTCAAAATACAGGAAAAGAGATTCCATGTAATAGTAGGGAAAAAATCCCAACAGTAAGAGAGGTGCTTGCCAGTGGAATATCCTCCTTGGGAGGGTGGAGAAGTCTCCTTTTTTTGGAGGTTTTTAAATAGAAGTTGGATGGCCATCGGCCAGGAGTACGGTTTGATTGTGTATTCCTGCATGGTAAGGGATTAGACTGGATGGTCCTTGTGGCCTCTTAAAACTCTATAATTCTATGAACGTTGTTACCAACCAACAAGCATAAAAATAGAACATCCATGTTCTAGCTCTCCAATTAATTATTTATTTACTTGCTCTATGTACCCTCCTTTTCAAGTATTTTCAAAGAAATATTCAAGAATATTAAAAGTGTCTCACCTTGCTTAAGAATATGTTAGGAAAATCTGGTTTCCAATGGTTGAAGACAGAGACATTATTATTTCTCATTTTTCTTTTTTAAAAGAAAACATTTAAAAACTACAGTAATAATGTTTGACTGCCCTCTACAGGAGGCACATCTCAGACTTACACAAGTTTGGAGACTTTCTACAAGAAAAGCTGCTACAGAATCGACATTTATAGCTAAGGACTAAAAAGGGGGCATCTATTCTTTTACTTTTAAATTTCTCATGCATAAGAAGTCAGCATTTTCTAGTTTCCACTCAATTACCCCAATCAAAGCATGCACAATCCCTCTCTTTTTTTTTTTAAGTAGACAATTCAGCAAATGCTGCTGATACTCCCTTACTAAATTCAGTGATTCTCAGGCAGAAGTCAGTTCATGAGGTATTGGCTGTTGCTCTTTGCAAGCTTCCAAAAAAGTAATAAACAACTCTAGTCAATGGGTATAAATGTGGAACCAGTCCTGGCACACTGGGGAAAAACCTGCCAGTTTCCAAATCCAATAAACTGAGATGCACTGCTGTAAAGAATTTTATCTTATGCACACTGGAATGCAATACTGATGTAGTCAAGCAGGGGAAACTTTAGAAGCATTTTCATTAAGGTGAAGAAGAGTTACCTTCTTCACCTTAAATCTACTGGCACTACAGTGCCACTGCAACAGAACTCTCTCATCAAACTCACAATTGGGCATTGGAAAACTCCCTCACTCTATAATAACAACAACAACTTTATTCTTATAGCCCGCCACCATCTCCCCGAAGGGACTCAGGGTGGCTTACACATGGGTCAAAATGCCCACAAGACATAAAAGCAAAACAATCCATTAAAGCAAAATCAAAGTTAAAATAAAAGCATAGTAAGATATAAGAACACAAATAAAATATAAGAATATAAAACAGTAGCTCTACAAGGTTTTGTAGTGAGGGTGACAAGAGCCAAATAAAAATTCTATTTCTGAGTGCCATTAAACATAAAAAATCTATATTTAAATTTACAAAAGAGTGAGGTCTTTGATACCACCTATAAATCAGAGCCAACTAGTTAAAGCTTATGTAGAGTAGAGTAAAATTATAAGAAAACCACACAGAGATACATAAATACAAATGCAAAGTTATAGACTCGTTACAAAATGGAGTGAAAAACCTCAGTAGGTCCCAAATCAAGCATCTCATGCTGGAACATTTCAGGGGTTGCTCCTTCAAAACCCAGAAAAATTCATCCATTCCCCCCCGCCCCAAAAAAAATGTTCTCAGGGAGTCTGCAGTCAAATGCTACATGTGCCAAGTAGGCTGCCCTGTGCCTTAAAGACACAGCAGCAACAAGTTGCCTACCTGTCCCTTGGAACATCTAGTGCTGTATTGTAGTCAGGTGCTCCTCCAGGCAACATGTTGAACAAGAGGTGATTTGTCCCTCGATCCCAGCTGGGAAAGAAAGAAAATCAGAGGGAAAAGTCTGAGTACTAACAGAAATCAGAACTTCAAGGTTTATTATCCAACATAAAAGGATATAGACCCGCCTACTAAAAGAACATCCATTAGTAAAACAAAACAATTCAACAATAAATTAGACAGTCTTTGTCATTTCCATTCTAGTATTTTGTCCATCATAGCTTCACTTTTTGCAAAAATGTATGTACCTGGTTGAAGGCAGGGTCACTCTCAAATTATTTGTATGTGGCTTGCCTGATAATTATCTCAACGATCATCACTAAGCTGAGAGCAATGTGGTCAATATTAAACCTAAAATCTACAGCTCTACTATATCAAATGCTGGTGATAAATTCATCCTTAACTACCTGTTTTTGTTGTTTATTTGTTTTGCTCTCAGTCACCCAACCCTGTTTTTTCTATTTTAACTCTAGTATACACAGTAAAGTTTCTGAAGGTACCGGGAGAGCTGTGCCAAAGCCTGAGCTGTTTCCTTGATACGGAGAGTGTTCTGATTCAACACATCAATAGATGGTACAAAGAGGCAGGCACGGTTGACATCATCTGTGTAGAAATCACTGTCAGAGATAGCAGTCAATAGTTCATTGTATTCCCTGGAAATTGTATGGCTGACTGGCATGCCATATTCATCTACATACTTCTTCAGAGAGTAAATATAGACCTTGATCTTATTTTTGGGGTTGAATCCACAACGGTAAACATCAAAACACGTGTGCATCCTGCAGCTGAGGTCTCCACGCTCAGGGATGGCACTGTCTGCAGGAATCTTGACTACAGGAACATCATGAACGCTCCGCTTTTCAACTGTCCAGTCATTTGAAGACTCTATGGAGTGTGGCCAGAACTGAAACATGCCTGTGGCAATAAGTCCCAGCAGCACAATGGAGAAGAGAGCAATATAATAGATGCGGTGTTTGGTCTTCATTCTCGGGATGAGGGCTGGACCCCGGGTGTTATATTTGACTGACGCACACATAATGGAACAAGCCAACTTTCCCACTGGCTTCTGGGGAAGAGAATATAAAAAACAAAAACTAGAATTAACACTGGTTGTTGTTAAAGCACAAAATACATTCAGTTTTGAAAGGAAAAACTGCTTGTCTCATTTATTTTAATTTTCTAGCACATCTGTTTTATTCAACAACAGAAACATATTATATTCCTCAAGCCATAAAGGCTTCAAAAAGTCTTGCATCAGTATTTCCAACACACCAGTTGTTTGTCACACAAAAATTATGTCTTGGTGTACGCAACCGGTCACTCACCTCAGTTTTATAGATGATTTTTACAAGTATTTATTCCTTACTACCTGGTGGAAACTAAACTGTGAAGAGCACATTTATGTAATGATTAGACCACTGCAAATAATTCACAGTTTTTCAGGACTCCTGTGAGATACATTAGTGTTGTCTGTATATTACAGATAGTGCTTGCACAGCACTGTCTCTTGCACCAAGAGACAGTGCTTGCACAGCAGAGCCATGGTTTGAGAAAGGACCTCTTATTCCGCAATAGAGCCTCTGAGCTATATAGGAAAGCTACTGAAACACAGTTTGAATTTAGTAAAGTTTTTTTTATTAATATAGTTTGCTTATGTCAAATTAAAGGCAAGTGAAATAAATGATCAGATTGCAAACTGGACTGGTAAAGCATCTGAATGTGTTAGTGTGACCCAAGAGCCACATGCATTATTTGGCATATACATAAACTGTTGCTCTTCTACCTCCCCATTATCACCAATCAGATCTGAGAGTCCAGCCAAGTCTAGTTCTGAACAAGACCATACAGCTGGGTGAAGGCATTGGCTGCTCCTTAGATATGCAAAGAGGGAGAATTTGATGGTTTTCTATACCTCATTCAGTGGGCATTAGGAAGCAAGACTAAATTGTAAGTCGCTCGGAGCACCTTGGTCGAGAGCAACTAATTAAGAAATGAAGTGAAGTGAAGAAGACTAAGTGTCACATTTTTGTAAACAGACACAGACCTGGGTTGTTGGAGGTTTTTTCGGGCTATATGGCCATGTTCTAAAGGCATTTTCTCCTGACGTTTCGCCTGCATCTATGGCAAGCATCCTCAGAGGTAGTGAGGTCTGTTGGAACTAGGAAAAAGGGGTTTATATATCTGTGGAATGACCAGGGTGAGACAAAAGGACTCTTGTCTGTTGGAGGTAGGTGTGAAAGTTTCAACTGATCACCTTGATTAGCATTTGATTGCCTGGCAGTGTCTGGAGCAATCTTTTGTTGAGAGGTGATTCGATGTCCTTGTTTGTTTCCTCTCTGTTGTTGTGCTGTTCTAATTTTAGAGTTTTTTAATACTGGCAGCCAGATTTTGTTCATTTTCATGGCTTCCTCCTTTCTGTTGAAATTGTCCACATGCTTGTGGATTTCAATGGCTTCTCTGTGTAGTCTGACACAGACCTCTTTTCCCAGCTCATGAGTATTTGGGTCAGAGTTCATTTACTTTAGAAGGGGTCCCTGAAACCTGCTTTTTACACAGAGGTTTGCCATAGATACTGAATGATGTATTAGAGATGAAGAACATACACATGTAGAAATTTCCACTCAAATCTCAAAATGATCTATGCCAGCACATGTTTTATTCACAGAAAGTGCATTCTGCCATTTAACCACAATCCCTGAAGCTCTAGAATAGAAACTCATCCACACTTCTTTTTCGCTCCAGCCTTTGCTGAAGTCACTGTAAGCAAAAAAGCTGCCAGGTAGGAATGGGCAACTAGCTTTTCAGCCAGGAGTGCGTGGCTCGTAACGTGCTACTCTATAATTTCACGTTTTAGGCCTTCAAAAGGCTCTTTCTAAAAAACAGAAACTCCTGAGAATTCAGACTCTTCTTTTACACATAGAACAACTATTTTGCATGAAGCTCACAAAAGATGTGTGGACATGATTTCTGGAGATTCTCTTCTTCATTTGCATCAAAGCCTATCCCATTCAGTGTTATCTCATGATCCTCTGTGTCATACTTCTGAGGGACTGCATGATAGGAAGTCACCTTCTGCTAGCCCAGTTACACCTGAGCAATGATAGCAATCCCGTAAGAAGTATCAGAGGCTTCGGAGTTTCCATTTCTAAAAGTGTTCCTATTTAGTAATCTTTATTCTGGAGGACGAATTCATTTAAAGGGGATATAAGGCAAAACACAAATAAAGATACAATGGAATATCTTGATGTTATCACTGAGATGGCCATCTATGACAAATTACTGAGCAGCTAAGGAAAATATTTCAGACGCCAGTACAGATATCATTACATGGAATTGCTTATTCATATTTGTACAGAGCAACTCAATTGTGAACTCTTTAGGACCAAAGGAAAACAATTGTCTTAAAACCATGAGTTTTTTGCTTTCAAAAAAAGAAAAGAGCTCCATTTGTATCACCAAATTATCTGAGATTCTAAAAATAGCCCATTACAGAAACTGCATTACTGGATTTTCTGTAAAATCAGGAATAACGTATTGACAAGAATTTAGCAAACTGCAATTAAATGGCCATTAAGCATATTTTCTCTTTCAAATGCTCAGCCGTTCCATCGTAATTCAATAAATAAGGTAAAAAGTGGATCCATATAATCTCAACAATGCCAAAGCACAACAAAGACTAGCATGACAATGTGGGAGATGTCTCGCCAGATAAGTAGCAACAGTTTTGAAACAAATTCTTGTCACCAAGTTATTTCTGATTTTACAGAAAATCAAGTAATGCTCTTTCTGTAATGGGCTATTTGTATAATCCTAAATAATTGGTTTAGTAATACAAACTGAGTTCTTCTTTGGAAGATAAAAACTCATAGTTTTAAAACATTGCCAAAGCACAACAAAGAATAGCATTACAATGTAAGGAGATGTATCACCAGATTAGTAGTAATAATAGTAAAACAAATTATTATAAACATTTAATTGTTTAAAGATATTAACTGAAAACCAGAAATTTAAATATTTTGTGTTGTTATAGTAAACAACGGAATTCAAACTGTCTTTCCTGAGTTCATTTGCTCTGTTTCATTGATGGTATCTAGAATTTCCAGCACTGGACAGCTGTATCCACAAAGGTTAGATGAGCTTGTTTCATCACTGGCTAGAAGTACAATACTGTCATCTTAGATTACACTAATGCTCAGAGCAGAGGTAGGAGTGGGAATATAAAAAAGAATGGACCTGCGGGATAAAGGTTATATTGTGGCTACACCTTTATAGGCCAAACAAAAGGCAAAAAATAAAATATCCCACACAAATTTTCAAAACAACATACTTTTTGTCAAACAAAGATAATTTTTGAAAAGCTTGCATGGGAAAACAAAAACAAAAGTAACAAAGATAACAGTCACATAGCCTATATTTCAGAGATAGTATACCAGAGAAAGAGTATGCAAGTTATCAAAGTAGGTTCATAAAGTCATAAAGAAAAATATTTGATTCATTATATGAAGCATATACCTCACTGGCAATAAAATGAATGTGGTGACTAACAGTTGGACAACCTGGCATATAATGGTATGAATATGCAGCATTTTACCATAGGGTGAGCAGAAGGCAGTTCTGCATTTACTAAATTAGTGGATTACTGCATTGTAACCAGGGCCGGCCCGTCCATTACTCGAAGTAAGCGGTCGCGGAATACTTTTTTTGCCAGGGGGCGCTGTTTTGTCCTTAGGCCACGCCTCCTCCTGGAGGCCCCATGCGCCCTCAACAGCCTTCTAATGGAGAAGCGCAGGCCCCGCCCACTAGGCGAGAGGGAAGTCCTCCCTCCACGTGCTGCCAGGAGGGAGGCAGCCAGCCAGGCTCTTTCGCTTTCCCTTTCCTTCCCTGCAGCTGAGCCTGGACCCCTCTCAGGGCAGCAAGGAGGCCTGGTCAAAAGGTACTGCAAATGTCATCTTTTGTACATGCCTCCCCCAAACCCCTCTAGTATTTGGTAATGGAAGTCCTATATGCCAAGTTTGGTTCAATTCTATTGTTGGTGGAGCTCAGAATGTTCTTTGGTGCTTGGTAAACTGCAATTCCCAAATGTCAGGGTCTATTTTTCCCAACCCCCTCTCCATTATTTTCTGTTAGTCATGGAAGTCCTGTATGCCAAGTTTGGTTCAATTCTATTGTTGGTGGAGCTCAGAATGTTCTTTGGGGCTTGGTAAACTGCAATTTCCAAATGTCAGGGTCTATTTTTCCCAACCCCCTCTCCATTATTTTCTGTTAGTCATGGAAGTCCTGTATGCCAAGTTTGGTTCAATTCTATTGTTGGTGGAGCTCAGAATGTTCTTTGGGGCTTGGTAAACTGCAATTCCCAATGTCAGGGTCTATTTTTCCCAACCCCCTCTCCAGTATTTTCTGTTAGTCATGGAAGTCCTGTATGCCAATTTGGTTCAATTCTATTGTTGGTGGAGCTCAGAATGTTCTTTGGTGCTTGGTAAACTGCAATTTCCAAATGTCAGGGTCTATTTTTCCCAACCCCCTCTCCATTATTTTCTGTTAGTCATGGAAGTCCTGTATGCCAAGTTTGGTTCAATTCTATTGTTGGTGGAGCTCAGAATGTTCTTTGGTGCTTGGTAAACTGCAATTCCCAAATGTCAGGGTCTATTTTTCCCAACCCCCTCTCCAGTATTTTCTGTTAGCCATGGAAGTCCTGTATGCCAAGTTTGGTTCAATTCTATTGTTGGTGGAGCTCAGAATGTTCTTTGGTGCTTGGTAAACTGCAATTCCCAAATGTCAGGGTCTATTTTTCCCAACCCCCTCTCCAGTATTTTCTGTTAGTCATGGAAGTCCTGTATGCCAAGTTTGGTTCAATTCTATTGTTGGTGGAGTTCAGAATGCTCTTTGGTGCTTGGTGAAGCATTCTCACCTGATGTTTCACTCACATCTATGGCAGGCATCCTCAAGAGGCTGTGAGGTCTGTTTGTAACTAGGCAAGTGGGGTTTGTATATCTGTGGAATGTCCAGGGTGGGAAAAAGAACTCATGTCTGCTTGAGGTAAGTGTGAATGTTGCAATTGGTCATCTTGATGAGTATTTAATGGCCTTGCAGCTTCGAAGCCGAGCTAGTTGCTGCCCAGGAATCCTTTGTTGGGAGCGGTTAACTGGCCCTGATTGCTTCATGTCAGGAATTCCCCCCCTTTTTTAGTGTTGCTCTTTATTTATTGTTCTGATTTTAGAGGGTTATTTTAGAGGGTACTGGTAGCCAGATTTTGTTCCTCTGAGGTTGCCTGCCATAGATGTGGGGAAAATGTCAGGAGAGAATGCTTCTGGAACATGGCCATACAGCCCAGAAAACTCACAGCAACTCAGTGATTCTGGCCATGAAAGCCTTCCACAACACATTATTATGTTTATTTATACCCTGCTTTTTCTCTCCCCAAGAAGACTCAAGTTGGCTTAGATTAAAAACATTTCAGTACAGTTTAAAATCCACAAATATGCAAACATTAAAATGGAATTAAATATCATTGGTATTTTAAAAAATTCAGTTAAAATCCATAAAAAACATATCCAAAACTAAAAACTGCAGCAGACCCTGACTTGATCTTTAAAACCTTTTAAAGCCTGCATTAGATTACCAAATGTAATGTCCCTTTATACACACTGCTTTATATTAATTTCCCCAGTATTCCTTTATCTGATTTGTCATCAACACACTTAATGGACTGCAAAAATATGATCCTGTGTGATTCCTTTCCATTTCCAAGTCGCCCAGTCCTCTGTGTGCCCAGGGGGGAGTCTCTCATCTGGTATCAGCCATGGGCTGAGGTGCTGGGTTTGAGCCTGCCACTTTTGGACTCTCGCTTGCTGAGGTGTTCCAGCGAGTGTCTCTGTAGATCTTAGAAAACTTATAAAAACGTATTTAAGATCAACTTTGAGTCAAGAGCGCTTGAGTGGACTAGCAACCTTGGCCATTGAAAATGGCTTGTTGGATGAAATGGAAACAGATATAATAGTACACGAGTTTTTAAAATTGAAAGCCAGAAAAATCTCTTTTTAATTTTAAAAGTGTTCAAGTTTATTTGTGTTAAGGAAAACTGGATGTTAAAGTATCCACTAAAGTGAAGGGGCCAGAGGCTGACTATGTTGCCACACCCATTGTAATGGTCCAGGCTGGCATGGCACTTTTGAAGGACAAGAGTTCACTTTCTTAAAAAGGAGGTGTCTATTCTCCTGGGGCTGCGTTCTCCAAAACAAATCTGATTGACAGACCCAACAAGCATGGGATTGAGTTTTCTGTTATTAGCAAACCCCTAGTCTGAAAAATCTTCTCTGAAGAGACAGCATGACCAGGAAACCTTTGTGTAGTACTTGTAGACCAAAAATAACAACAAAAACTTAAAATTGTTGCTAAGTTTAGTAAAATATTTGCATTCTTAAAAAAGTTAATTTGTGTAATGTAACTATATAAACATAATGTTGTAAGTAAATTTCTGGTTTGTAAGGTAACTCTTTTATTCACCTCTACCTTCTACGTTTTATTTTTCAGTGATTGGTTGGGGGGAGGGGGCGCCAAAATAATGTTTGCTTACCATTGAAAATTACCTAGGGCCGGCCCTGATTGTAACTCAGTAAGTAGGATAAAAAGTACAAACCCAGGAATGAAAACTGAGTGTAGCAGAAATGGTACTCAAAGCTTTCCCTCAAAATTCCTTAAATGTATATCTTTTGCATTAGGTTCTAACTGGGTAAAATATAAAAATGGTTTCTGCTAAGTCTGATGTCTCCATCCTATCATCTCTGCCCTACTTGAGTATGGGGATATATATGAATTAAGACTGAACCCCACAAGAAGAAATAAGTAATTTAGGCTTCATGACTTCCTCTTAGTGGAGAGAACAGCAGACTGCCAATGAGTGGCACCCTCAATGCCCAGTTATATCCATGTCCACTCAACTAAATATCCTTAAGATGCAGAAATTAAGGAACATAGTTGAAGGCTGGGTGTAACAAGGATTGCTTATGGGGGAAAAATGGAGAGGCTCCTGTACCAATAATATCTGGGCAGAAGAGAGAATTTTAGCATCTGTTGTCTGTTACTTACTACTTAATCACACTAGAGAATGAATCCATGTTAAATCTGGTTTCTGCCACCTGCAGAATTCAGGGGTTTGTAGTTTAGTAAGGCTGTTAAAGGCTCCTCCCTAAACTACTAACCACAGAATTGTGCAGGAGCTAGCAACTGGATTTAAAGTGGATTCATTCTCTAGTGTGATGTTTTATAACAAGTGACAGCTGACGAAATTCACTCTTCTCCATTCACATATTGCCTTCAAGTTGCCTGTTGACTTATGTCAACCCTATGAGTTATCTTAGGCAATGAATACGCAAAGTCAATTTTGCCAGTTTCTTCCTATGTAACACAGCCTATTCACTGGAGGTCCCACATCCAAGTACTAACCAGGACTGACCCGTGAAGCTTCCAAGATCATATGGGATCTGATTCCTTCAAGGTATTTATTATGCTCACATATCTTTCCCTCAAATACAGGCTGCTTTACTAACATCACAATTAGTATTGCTTTGGATCAGGCATGGGCAAACTTTGGCCTTCCAGATGTTTTGGACTTCAACTCCCACAATTCGTAACAGCCTACCAGGTGTTGGGAATTGTGGAAGTTGAAGTCCAAAACACCTGGAGGGCCGAAGTTTACCCATGCCTACTTTAGATTGTATATTTGCCACTAACATGTATTGATTGTTTGTGTTGTTATATGCTTAAAACGTTAAACTGGAAATCACTTCTTCAGCTCCTTCCACTGAAATATAGTCCACAGCCCGTGGCATTCATCAGCAGTCTTCCACCCAAGAACAAATGAGGGGTGCATCTACACCAGGTCTGGGCAAACTTGAGCCCTCCGGGTGTTTTGGACTTCAACTCCCACAATTCCTAACAGCCTACTGGGCTGAAGTTTACCCAGGCCTGATCTACACTATACAATGGATGCAGTCTGACATCACATTGGAATTATGGGGGTTATAGTTCTACAAGGTCCTCGGCCTTCTCTGTAAGAATGCTGGGGCCTCAGCACACTGCAACTCCTAAGGCTCCAGAGCATTAAAGTGGTGTCAAACTACGGTGTAGATACCCCCTGAGGCCCCTTCCACAGAGCTGAGTAAAATTCCCCATTCTATGCTTTGAATCGGAATATATGGCAGTGTGGACTCAGATAACAAAAATCAAAGCAGAAATTGTGGGATTTTCTGCCTTTATATGCTGGGGCATATGGCTGAACTGCCAAGATTTGGTGCCTTTTGGGTACCATTATTATTGTTACCATTATTATTATTACGAGAGGAGCCTCTCTAGTTTTTACTTCTGGCAAAAGAGCAGGGCAAGTAAAGCGCCAGAGAGGCACCAGAGCAGCGCTGAAAGAAAGGGGTTTATCGGAGCTGTGGAGGCGCCCTTCCCCCTCCCGTCCCACCTCCCCACTGGCCTGGAGCTCTCACCCGGTCGCCCGAGGAAGAAGCCCCGGCGGAAGCTGCCTTGGCGGCCCTCTCCGCGCCCCTCGCCGGCGCCACTTCGGGAAGGACGGGGCTCTTCGGCAGCCACACACGCCTCCCGCACAGCCCGCCGCCTCTGCCAGCCAGGGCGACGCTTCCGGCTTCCGGGAAGCGGGGAAACGTCACTTCCCGTGCGCCTACGTCACCGCCTTGCCCCCTCCCTCCCTCCCTTCTCTGGAACGCTAGAGCAACATTGCACTTTGACACCACAGTCACAGCCATGGCTCAAGGCTGTGCAATCATGAGGGATGCAGTTGGCTGAGGCACTATTACTCTTTCGTAACTACGACTCCCTGGATTGTGTAGCATCCAGCCATGGCAGTTCTGCATTGTTTCCACAGTACTGATGCTCCCCTAGAGTGTTCTTCACCTCAGAGAGACAAATGGGCTGAGGAAGAGCACACCTGGAATGCTGTGTCCACTTCTGGGCACCACAATTGAAGAGAGAGATTGACAAGCTGGAATGTGTCCAGAGGAGGGCAACTAAAATGATCAAGAGTCTGGAGAACAAGTCCTATGAGGAGCGGCTTAAAGAGTTGAGCATGTGTAACCTGAAGAAGAGAAGGTTGAGAGGAGACATGATAGCCATGTATAAGTATGTGAGGGGAGGAGGGAGCAAGCTTGTTTTCTGCTGCCCTGGAGGCCAGGACGCGCAACAATGGCTTCGAACTACAAAAAAGGAGATTCCATCTGAACATTGGGAAGAACTTCCTAACTATGAGAGCTGTTCAGCAGTGGAACTCTCTGCCCCAAAGTGTGGTGGAGGCTCCTTCTTTGGAGGCTTTTAAACCGAGGCTGGATGGGCATCTGTCCAGGATGCTTTGAATGCAATTTTCCTGCTTCTTGGCAGGGGGTTGGGCTGGATGGCCCACAGGGTCTCTTCCAACTCTATGATTCTATTATTCTAAGATCATTGAGGATTCCTGGCTGGTTAGTGGTTGCAGAAATATAGCAATTTTAAATCGAATCCATCTTGCAATACCCTGTAAGTTCACAACGCAGAAAGATTTACGGATTTAGGTATTTATTGACAAGAACTGAACACAACCCATTCCTTCGTAAAGATATATATTAAGAAATTCCTGAACATATGTTGGGATGGATCCAGAACCCGGCTTTTGTGGAGACAACCACACCTCATGTTTACAGAAAGTTTTCCATCCAGTGTGCAAATTCTGGTAGTGGAAAGGAGGGGATAGCAATCTTTGTTGACTTTCCCTTCTCTGAAGTTTTCATGCCCCTGCCGCTGAGAATAGTGACACCACACCAAATACATTTACCCAAACTATCTGCCCTGGAGTGTGGTGGAGGCTCCTTCTTTGGAGGCTTTTAAATAGAGGCTGGGCGGCCATCTGTCAGGGGTGCTTGGAATACGATTTTCCTGTTGAAATGTGGACCATTTCAACAAAAAGAAGGAAACCATGAAAATGAACAAAATCTGGCTACCAGTATTTTTAAAAAAAACCTCTAAAATTAAGACAGTTAATAAAGAGCAACACTCAAAAAGCAGGGGAAATCCAGAAAAGAATCAATCAGGGCCAGCTAACACCTCCCAACAAAGGATTCCCCCGGGTAGCAATGAGCCAGACTTTGAAGCTGCAATGGCATTCAATGCTAATTAAGGTGGCCATTTGCTACATTCACATTTGCCTCAAGCGGACGAGAGTTCTTCCACCCTAGACATTCCACAGATATATGTATAAACCCCACTTGCCTTGTTTCCAACAGACTTCACAACCTCTGAGGATGCCTGTCATAGATGTGGGTGAAACGTTAGGAGAGAATGCTTCTGGAACATGGCCATACAGCATGAAATCTCACATCACCCCAAGTTGAAGAAGACTTGGGATGACCAATTATGGTTTTATTAAAAAAAATCTGACTCCAGTTGATACATGTTAGTATTCTTCTAAAAAGGAAAAGGACTTTGCAAGCAGAATGTCTTCTGTCCATTCTAAAATTATATTTTCCCCATGTCATTGGATGTGGAAGAGCCTCCATACTGTGGAATTGTAGCAGTTTTGACGCCACCTTTAACTCTCATGGCGCCATCCTATCAAGGGATGTGTCGTTTGTTGTGCACCAAACCTTGCTAGCAGCAAAAGGTAAATATCTTATTAAACTACAAACCCCAGAATTCCACAGCATCGAGCCAGTGCAGGCAATATGGGGTCAAACTGCTATAATTCTGCAGTGTGGGTTCACAAATAGATCAAGTAGCAATTGAGACAGCTACCTGAAAAATAAATATAGTAGTTAGTTTTACTTGATCTGTTTGTGAATCACGACTGCGTATGCAGGATGAGTCAAGTGCAACCTTGAGGTCACATAAGGCCATCAAGATTTTTTTCTTTGTGACTGTAATCCATTTCCTCAAAACTCCTTTTTTTGTAAAAAAAAAAAATGAAATAATTTTGCTCCTGGAGTGCAGCAGGATTGCTTATACTATTTAAGCTTTTGACATGATGTTCACTGCAGGAGAGCAACAGTTGCATATTTGTGCCTCCAAGTACCACAGCAACTGCTATATGCAAATACAAGAACCTCAACTTAAGAGCACCCCAACTTAAGAGTGTTTTGAGTTAAGAGCTAGCACCAGAGTGAGCACTAGAGCGAGAGTCAAGGCCTTAGGGCTTCAAGGGAGCAACTTCCATGCTCTGTGCCCTGTGCCTCCATGTCTTGTCCTCTTGTCTGCTTTGGGAGATTGCTGTCCGCTTTGCTCTTGCCCCCTTTGAGGAACTTTGGGTTAGTTGATTTTTGTGGTTTTAATGCCTGGTATGTTTGGCTTCATGAAGAGAGAGAGGGATAGAGATCAAGAGAGAGAGAGGGAGGCTGGAATGAATACAGTGTGAAGAAAATGATGCTTCTGTCTCTTCACTTTGTGCTTCCTTGCCACAGCTTTCTCCTTATACCATTTTAAAGTTGATCTTTCTTTTTTAGTGTTCCATGTGAACATGATTTCTATCAATAAGCCAAGCTGCTTGGTTCTTCTACTAACTAAAACCAACCACGATGTAATTTAAAGCTTTTAGGCAACCCAATCACATCTTTAAAACAACAGGCAAGCCCAAAAACTGGTGGCCCCAATGTTTCTCTATGGCCTAATTTGATATAGTCTCAGTGAAAGAACTAATGAAGTTCCAGAGACATTGCCTACATTTCAACAGCAATTGAGTATATTAACACTCATCTGTCTCACAAATGTCACCCTGGTTTAGCAATTTAAAGTGCTTCTTAAGTTATCTGAGGGTGGGATTGGCAGGGGATGTCCCCCAGTGTGATAGGGATGGTGCCATTGCTATAGAGCATGAATTTAGGGGTCTTTGCCAGGAGGCAGAGACCAATTAGACTCATCAAAGAGTTCTTTTTCCCTGACGAGACAGAGAAGCACCCAATATTTTTCCCTGATTTTCCCAATGAAAGGTCTCACCAAGTTGAAGAAAAGCCATCGAGGTTTATTAGTGATTCAGCTGAAAAGGATGCAGAGCAGCAATCATTCACCAAGCAGCATGTGGTTACAGAAATAAAGGCCATTTTTATACAGAGTTGTGAGTTTCAAAATTCCCACTCCCCCCCCCCCACCCAGCTTGGAGGGGATTGGCTGACACGCAAACAGCTGGGAGGAGGCTTGGCCGTCCCCCATGCATCAGGGTCAATCGCAGGGCTTTCGCGAGGCGCCAGAGCCTATCAGGAGGCTCCTGCTGCCTCGACGCTCCAGCGAATCAGAAGGGAGGGAGGCGGGATGAAGGGAGACAATGCATTCTGTAGTGGATTATGGAGTTTTAATGTCCTTAGGCTTATCGAGGCTGGGGATCAGCCTTCCAGAGAAGCCACTTTATTGTCCTGAGATGGGTCTATGATAAGCATTGATGGCTTAATCCGGTTTTTCCTCTTACAATCAGATAGGGCACAATGGGGAAACTTTTGTGAATGTCCTTAGTGGAAAGATTTGAGAGAAAAACAGCTTGGAGGAAAAGAGGACTTTCCTAAGGTCATATTCCCCCCATTGTTATATGATTAAAAAGTCTGCCAGACAGGAACCCTTAAGATGGCCCAACTCCGAAGTCAAAAGGATTTCCTTTACTATTGTCCATGCAAAGAATGTCCAAAGATAAAGGTCTTTTCATGATTGCTGATTGCTTTTCCAGAGGCAGGGCAGCTTCCTTGTAGATTTCCCCCAAGAAGAAGGGCAGGGGGCAAAAGGGTCAGGGCAAGGTCAAATACATGAAGGGAAATATAGAAATACAGGATAAAATATGAAAATATAAAAATCATAATACAGAGAGTAAACCCAACTACCTTCCCCCAGTGTCCATAGTTCATATTATTCATAGGAAGGTCCATAAAGGGAAATATCCATGAGGGGGAAAGAGAGTCCCTTGTTTGTGAGATGGGGGACCATCAGGAGCCCAGGTGTGCCTCAGATGGAAAAATTCAAATACTTTTGTGGCATGATTTTCAGTAATAAATTGGTTACTTTCTGCTGTAAACATATGAAAATAGAGCATAAAGCCTTGATTAAATGATACACACCAAACCGACCAAGGCTTAACCCTTATTATCCAGCCTGGCGTCCTTGCCCTTAGCAAAACTATAAGTTACTATCTCTTATGGGGGGGGGGGGGTCATGTTCAACTTCACCATGTTTGTTTCTGCCCATTGTTTATGACTATTACTTTCCTGGAAGTATGCCACAGTCCAGTATCCAATAGCTTGCAGACTGGTACCAGGCCATGGACTACCACTAATGACCTCATCAGACTTGTTTTGAAACTGTATTTCCACCTTTTTTTATTGTGTCAGGAGTAACTTGAGTAACTGCAAGTTGCTTCTGCTGTGAGAGAATTGGCTGTCTGCAAGGACATTGCCCAGGAGACACGCAGATGTTTTGATCCTTATGGGAGGCCTCTCTCATGTCCCTGCATGGGGAGCTAGAGCTTCAAGAGGGAGCTCATCCATGCTCTTCCCAGTTTCGAACCTCCAACCTTTCAGTCTTCAGTCCTGCTGGCACAAGGGTTTAAC